GGGAGGGTTCCAGGTGACAGTTAGCTTCAAAAAAGGGAGTTCCAATTTCATTTTACTGAGCGTAGGAACATTTTTGGCTTCACAAGATCTCTACATATACATAATATACACTCGCAATATGGCGTATTTATTGTGTATTTTCATCAATATCTCACCTTAGATGCGGACAATTAGATTAATAAGTTACACAAAAAAAGTTCGCTGCAAAAATAAAAAAAGTTTGCGGCACTAAAAATAAATATGAAACACTTCCGGCTGCTAAAATAAAAAAAATTCGCTGCAAAAGTATGAAAAAACGTTCGCTGCAAAAATTAAAAAAAACTTCACTGCGATGGCCCTTTACGGCCTTCATACTTTATTAAACCTTTACTGGTTTTGATCAGTTAACATGCAGTTTATACTGTAACATTTAGAATATTTAGAAGTCTATAAATGATAATAAGGGAATCACTAAATGGGTTAGCTGTGTTGAATCATGCCGTGAATAGACTGGAGATTAACTGTCACGGTCGTCTCGTGGTGAAGGGAAGGAGTTCAGTGAAGTAACGCATATTTTACCTCCAAAAACCACCACGAAAACAAACCCCAAGACGAAGAGCTTTGCATTAGGTGTGTTCTTGCATTCATGATCTAATGTTGTGAGGAACATGACTTCATAACATGTTATTGTGTCGTGATAGGTGGATTTGTCGACCACCAGTCGAACGTAGGAAGAGCCGCCATGACCTTCCACCCATACAAAACAAACATATAAACACGTGCTTGTACAGGGCGTTGTGGTGCTCGCATTCTTCCAAACGATACAGTAAAGCAACACGGTTCTACAGCAAGTAAGTTAAGTCTTTAATATTTCGCTTTAAACTGTTTTAATTTATTATTTTTGACATGCTTGAATAGAGTAAATAGGACGTTTTTAAATGTGAAACACAATGGTCAAGAATTGCTGAGTCACAGACCCAGCTGGTCACCGAGGCACAAACCAAGCTTTTTCCTCTATCAAGCTTTGACTATTTATATCTTATTGTTCTAGCTGTTCCGAGATGGGTCTTCTATCACTCGGCTCGCCTCTTTCTTGGGAAGAGACTAAAAAGTATGCAGATCATGTGCGAAAACATGGTATCGAACAATTCCTGCACATTTACAATCGTCTGAAAACACGACAAAATGATATGCTCAAGTGGGGTGACGAGGTAAAGAAATAATATATTAAAGTTAAACTAACTTTTAGCCGAGATAAGTGTCGTTTTAACATTCTTTTATTACGAAATTCACTTTCAAGTTGCGGAACATCGTTTTGTACAATCTATTTAAAAGCTAGACTACTTTACCAAGTATCTATTTTATATTTGTTTGACTTGCATAGAATTAGTTACATGAGTCATCATATTTTATTTGGATGACTTTTGAAAAATCCCTGATTCTAGTTCCATCGTTTTTATCTTTGGCTCAATTAAGCTTACATTATTTTACTAGTAAATACTGATATTTTTGAGTTTGGTTCTAAAAGTAATGTTCCGAGTTGTTTTGCTCGTCTGATTTGCAAATCCGCTTTGCAAAACATCAACATTTAAAAATCTCTTGGATTTTTCGATTTAACATATGGAAAGATTCCTGTAATGACAATGCTATTTGTTCTATTATATTAGCTTGATCAATAAAAACTGATGAAGTTATATGAATTAGATCAGATGCATTTGTTGACAACAATACTTGATACTTTGCACCATCACGTGATAGCCAGCCATGACAGCCATGATCTGGTTTGCATGAGAACGAATTCAGTCTCCCATGGCAAAAATGACTCTGTTATTTAATCTCCTGTCATGCCGTCACGCGATGGTGCAAGGCCTCTATTGTTGCACAATGACATGAGGTAGGTCCTGTAAATACTTTCCATACCTCTGCATCAGCAGACAGGATCAATATTTGTGGGAAAAGGATTATGAGATAAAAGTTTTTAACCTGATATATAATCTTTCTTTGTTGGTCTCAGGTTGAATACACCTTGATCAAGTTTGATCATGAGAACAAGAAAGCATATTTGAATCTGAAAGCAGAAGAATTTCTGGAAATTTTACAAGTGGAAGAAAATACAAATCCTGGGTAAGTGACTAAAGTCTCCATCGTAAAATATGCTCTACTCTTCCATACCTTGAACTGACAAAACAGGCTAAAATTTTGAGGTTAAAAAAAAACAAACTATAGGGCTTCTTCAATTATGACTTACACTTACATGTTGATTGACTCTGGGAGAAAAACTGGAGAACCCAGAAAAGCAAACAGCACATGATGGAACACATCAAACAAACTCAACTCACTATATCTATATAGCTCAGTTGCCATGATGGAACCAGTGACCCTAGGCATGAACTTAACTTAACACAGCAGTGGTTCCATTTTTATAACTTTTGAACAAATTAAGATGTCATCTATGATTAATAAGAGAAGCAGTCAATGGAAATCCATGAGTTGTTTATTAAATTGAGTATATCATGCTGATATTTTTGTATGATTTTTTCCCCTGTTTTAAAGAAATAATCCAACATCATGGAAACCAGAGTATGCAGGATACATGTTAGAAGGTAAATAAAAACATTTTTGATTTTCGTATTCTAGAAATTACTTTAACATTTTATGACAGACCCCTTGCAGCAGGTCGGAATGCAGCTCAATTTGAAGCACATAACAATAGGTTTCCAATTTAATCTCAGGTGATTGAAATTCTTTTGTTTTGTACTCCAAATTGTGCTGGCTGCTTTGACGTCACATGCAAGTGGTGTCATATATAGGGATTTCTTTACTTTGTGAAAGTGAAATCTGCATATCAAATGGTTATTAAAAAGTATTGATAAAAGATTAAATTCTAATTTTATGACAACAATAGGAATACTTTTATTTATTGAAAGTGAAGTCTGCATAACTAATGTTAATTAATAAAAATATCGGTAACAACATTTTTATTTTTAAAATAAGAAATATTTTGAATAACCTTTATTTATAAACTTTGAGAATGGTGTTCTGATTAAAGTTTGAACATAGTAACAAGGAGTTAATGAGGATTTAAATAATGATATGTTTTATTCGTGATGTAAGGTACACCAGGAAAACCACTTGGAGGCTGCATGCGTCATTTCAACACTATTGAGGCAAACATGAAACTAAGGTAGGGAATATTTAGTATTTTACGGCAAGAGGTGCAAAAATATGACCACATTGTATTTTAGATGCCCAAGATTTTTTACACACCTCATTGGGTAAAACAGTGTTCCTGTAGGCCCTTGAAGTCCTTGAAAAGCCCTTGAATTTATGACGCAAATTCAAGGGTGCTTTAAAAGCTCTTGTAAAGATGGTATTATTGAAAAGTCCTTGAATACTCCTTCAAAAGTAAAACTATTCTGTTTTGTGAATGAAATAATAAAATAAAAATAAAAAATAAAATAATAAAATAAAATTACAGTGCGGATACTCTAACCATGAACACTTCGAGGTTTTTTTGACATTTTTTCAACATTTTTCAAACTTTATTTAATGCGTTATCCAATCACGACAATCGTTAGGAGTTCTATTTTTAGCTTTCTCATGGGAACTACTGAAAAACTAAATCACATCAATTATATCGTGTGTTCTGATTGGATGATGCCTAAAAGTTGTTTCATTCCTTTTAAGAAGGAGATCGCTGATTGGATAGTTGTAAAAATGTAGAAAAAATGTCAAAAAAACCTCGAAGTATTCATGGTTAGAGTGTCCGCACTGTAAAACTTTAGGCAAATTTCCTTGAAAATTCAAATTTTTGTCCTTTATCTGTGTTTGGAAATCCAGCATGTCAAACCAGCCAACTTTGCATTGGAATGTGGTCGTACTTTTGCACTGCATGCTCTAACCTAATATCAGCATTGCATGTGACACTACTCCAAAGCAGAAATTATGTCTAGATGGTCATGAAAACATGTTTGAACAACATTTTATAAAATATTTGGGATAGTACACATGCTACGATTGGTCGAAAACCATGTTTGATGAGGATATCAAAACACGCATCATTTTAGCGTGCACGAGTATTACAACTGTCAGATTTTAATCTATCGCACGTGCTCATTGGTTAGTTTGAATAAGACGGCAGGTAGAGAGAATTTACTTAAATTTGCTTTTTTTTGATCTTTTCGCGAGTTTGTTATTTTATATAACAAATCAAAAACAGTTTTCTGTGTTTGATACTCTGATCAAAACACTTGGGATGTTGGGAGAACACTCGAGAAGCTGGAAWCCACTCCGCTACGCGTCGTAGTTTCCTACGCTCCTCTCGTGTTCTCTCAATATCCCACGTGTTTTGATCAGAGTATCAAACACGGAAAACTGTTTTTGATCTGTTAAACAATATTTATTATAGAACTGGTGACTCAGTAAATCAAGTCATGTGTCAACATTTTTGCTGATTGTCTTTGTAATACATGTTATTGTTGATTTTAGGAGAGAGGAGGTCAACAGCTTATTAGAGCCTGATGAAGCTGTCTTGTCCATTGTTTCCTTTCCAAGGTGCGGTACTCTGAATTAGTAGGGATGGGGATATAGACCTGTATGCATAATATCATTCAATCTATACTTAAAGGATTGGAGCTACATACATGTACAGTGTAAGGGTCATACATTTAGACATACCAGGGCTTAGAATAACGGCCTGTCATCAGACATAATTGGTACTTGTCCAGGTCAAATCTTTCCCTTGCTAATCAAGGTATAAAAGAGTATGAAATAAAACGAATATAAAACAAAAAAATTGGCTATGAATAATGAATAACTAGAGGTTAAGGAGCTGTATACAATAACTGAGAGCTAAACTAATAATTTGGCTTCTTATCATGGCTGGCAACTCACTGGCCATTATTGTAACTCCTGCATATACCATCAGGCTAACATAAGTCTCTTAAATTTTAAAAAGATTCCAAGACAAAAATGAGACATAAACCTTGTTTATTCCCATGTTGAATGCAAGTTCTGACTAGTTCTTGTTTTGACAGGCTGGGAAGTCCAAAGTTTACTTTTCCTGAGCATCCTGTTACTCCTGGTGAAGGTGTCACCAGCTCCCTGTTCTATCCTGACCAGGCCATCTTTCAAGGTCATCCTAGATTTGCGTAAGTAACACCATTATGATATATATCCCTACTCCTGGTGAAGGCGTCACCACTTCCCTGTTCTATCCTGAACAGGTCATCTTTCAAGGCCATCCTAGATTTGCATATAAGTAATATATCTAGGTCTGAAATTACAGTGCACTGGGGGGGGGGGGGGGGGGGGGAGTGTGTATTTATGAACCCTGTCTTTCACCTTTAGACCTTGTTCAGTCTAAAAGACACAAAAATTGCTATGTTTTTAGGACCTTGTCAAGAAACATCAGGGAGAGACGTGGATCTAAAGTTGCAATTAATGTTCCAAGTAAGCATGTTATTCTTTCTATCATTTATTACACATATATACAAAAAAAAAAAAGCTTTCCAATACTGTACATACAGTATTGGCTAAGAGCAGTGCTGAAAAAAGGAAAAAGTGAAAATTTCAAAAATAGTTTCGATCAAACTTTTTCTAATTTCTGCTATAACTGTTAAACATTACTAAGTATCATCATCCCTCTCCCTTCCCCACTTAACCCCATCCAAAACCTGCATTGTCTGCAATGATTATTTTACTAAGAATAATTTACTCCAATTAATGTTTCTAGTTAGTTCCAAGTTTTTCTAAGAGTGTTATCTTGTATTGTGAACACAGTTTTCAAAGATGTAAACACCCCATCCCCATTTATCGAGGAGTCTCCTGAGGTGAAGGGTGAAGGTGCAAGTGCTTCTAAACCAGACCATATCTACCTGGATGCCATGGGATTTGGAATGGGATGCTCATGTCTACAGGTACTTACTAAATCCCAGAGAGCTTACAGCCAATCTATGATATTTTGTGAACTTGACATGATGATAAGTGCAATACATCTGTAGGTTTTCCTGGGGATATTGCTGCATTTATCATGTCATGTTCATTCAAGTTCATACTGTAAAGGATATAGAAATTTCTTTGAAAGCAGAAGTAAATCAAATTAATTTCAGAAGTAGTTTTGGCTTGAAAGTTAAAAGAGAGAATTGATGAAATAAATAAGCCACTTATAATAAGTAAGATAAAGTAATGAAAAATGTGGCAAATATAACTGTATTTAACAGTCTTTTTTTCCCCTTTTCTAGATGACATTCCAGGCATGCAGTATCGATGAAGGTCGCCACTTGTATGATCAGTTGGCTGTAGTCACACCTATTGTAGTAAGTTGGCCATTTTGAATTGTTGTATAAAATCAACTAAAATACCCCTCCGATATATAATCATGTCTATTGTTCTTGAGTCAGCCACTAATCTCTCCACTGATTCGCTGAGCCGATTCTCTACAACTAGTGAACTTGACATGATAAATTATACATTATCTATTATATAGGTTTTTGTGTAGAATAGAAAAAAACCTTTAGTGTGTATTTTGTTGCACAGATGGCCCTCTCAGCTGCAACACCAATATTCCGTGGTTACCTTGGAGATATTGACTGCAGATGGAGTGTGATTGCAGGCTCAGTTGATGATCGAAGGCCAGAAGAACTAGGACTAGAAGTAAGAATTGTTTTGTAGAGTCTAATCATAATAATAATTGAGGGTGACCATTGCCTTTTAGCACTGATAAACATGCGACCCCCTATATTTCACGTCTCTAAGTGATACAGGACTGCCATTTCATTTAATCATGAATCAGAGCCATGGTGAAGGTCTAACCATTTGTATATATTTTTAGAGCAAAGGTAGCACCTTCTACTCGATATTTTAAACCCTGAGTGTGAGTCTAGCCGAGGAGGCTTTGTACCTGCGACCTCTCGAACATGAGACCAGTGCCCAACCATCTGAGCCAACAGGGAGCCAGTAATTAATGTAATAATATATGTAAGCTAATAATTATTTTGTGTTTTTCTTTGTTAAAGCCATTGAAGGAGAGCAGGTTTGTGATTCCCAAGTCACGTTATGATTCCATCAGCTGCTATCTGTCACCAGAAGGAGCCAAGTACAATGACATTGAGCTAGTCATGGATGAGGACATCTATGACCAGCTGACAAAAAATGGTTAGTTTTTCTCCTATTAGAAATGAATCTCGTGAATCTAGCAGCCTTCAGTGAAGTGCCAATTTTCCTACATGCTTGCTCAAACATTAAAGAATAATTATTGAAAACTAGCCATTCAGATGCTACATGTATTACTGTAGGCTGTACGTGGACATACCAATTGCCCTACATGCTTGCTCAAACATTAAAAAAAATTTTTTTGAAAACTTGCCATTCAGATGGTATTACTGTAGGCTGTACGTGGACATACCAATTGCCCTACATGCCTGCTTAAACATGGAAAAAATATTCTGTTATTGAAAGCTTGCCATTCAGCTGGTATTACATGTAGGTTCTACAATCTATAATCCAGGAACACAGCGGTAATTTGGGATTTAAAACTGATCTAATGAGCAAAATCAATCCATATGCAGGGTTCTAGAGGGGGATTCTTTTTCCAAGCATTGTACGCTTTGGTAGATCTTTTTTCAACATGAGTGCACATCATCTTACAGTATTGTCACGAAATGCGTGCATCCACTATCCACTGTTAATGAAAGGATAATAATGCACAAGATGTTTTTTAGGTATTGATGAACTATTGGCCCGTCATTATGCACATCTGTTTATACGTGACCCTATGACGTTGTTCAAGGAGCACATCGATGAAGACGATACACAAAGCTCCAACCATTTTGAGGTAAATTGTGGCTCTAAATAAAAGTTATTAGAACATGAAAATCTTTAGGATTAGACTGTGAAACTTCATGTCAAGCTCTATTTTCACAATAAGGAAATGACGACATACTACATCTGTTAAGTTATTTACTTGCTGATTGTTTATATTTACTGCAAACTTTCTGACACAAAACCTCTTCATCATCTTTATAATCAAAGTCCGGAGCTAGCATAAAAAACAGCCAAAATAAAAGTCTTCATATGGCCCTCTTGGAAGTTAGTCTCCCCCCGCTATTAGCTTAGGGGAGTGAGCATTGCATGATGACACTAATAGCAGCTGAGTAGGAGACTGCTTTGAAGTGTGTCAGAATAAGAATGCTTAACCTTTATTGATTTACTTGCAACTTATTTTGTAGAACATCCAGTCAACCAACTGGCAGACAATGCGATTCAAACCACCACCTCCCAACTCACCTATCGGATGGAGGGTAGAGTTTAGACCAACTGAGGTAATATTTATTATATATTTTACTTCATATTTCTCCTACAGGGGCTTTTTAGTAGTGCAATGCATACAACATCGACACCATGCTATATTCTATACAACAGACTATGTGTCCCTCCAAAATATGCACAAAACTTTGTAACTCAGAGAAATAGCCCTTATTCGTGGTGTGACAATGTTTTCCCAATTCAAAGTGACAAACCTCTGGGGGAATAAAGAGCTATTCGGGATATTCGAAGAGTAAAAACAAAAGAAAATGAATTCTCTGGAGGTTTGTCGCGCTGAATTGGGAAAACATTGTCACACCACGAATAAGGTCGATTCTTCTAAGGAAGAGAACAATGCATTATTAAACTTGGTATACATACTGTATGAATACACTTGAAGCTTGATTACCTTTTATACCTATACTTCCAGAGTCCCTTTCGGTAGCATCTTTTGTTATGTTAATTTTCGCTATAGTCTTGGTATTCTCAAAGGAGTTTTTTGACATTTGTGAATATGAAATGAGATTTTGAAAAGGATTGCGGTAGTTTAGGTATGAAACGTCATTACGGTTAGGGTTTATTGAAGTGAGGGATTGAGTCTGTGAGTGTGATTCCTTGGAACCGCATTGCAGTAAATCAAGGTTCCGACTCAGACAATCGCTAACCAATCAGCGCGCGTTGCAACAGTTTTCCCAGTTCATGATAAATTAGCCAATCAGAGCTCTCGGTTTCTCTTCTCTATATTATAAAAGAAGTACCCAACAAAAGAAGCCAGCCACTTATCCTTTTCTCAATTATCTTTCAACTCATGTTTTCTGTTATGTATTTACATCGTGCAGGTCCAGTTAACAGACTTTGAGAATGCGGCGTTCGTTGCGTTTGTGGTGCTTCTGTCCAGAGTCATCTTGTCATTTGACTTAAACTTACTTATTCCAATATCCAAGGTATGAAGTGATTTGAAATTGCTTGCCTACAGTATGTACTCTTAAACCCTCAATGCAGAAGTCGAAGAAATCCAGGTCTCAAAAAAATGGATTATGCCAGAGCCCTCGTTCTTCGCAACAGGGCCAGAAGAAACGCAGACTCAGGGTACGAGATTGCAATGTTTAATGATCGATCAGTGTCCCCCTGCGGATCAGTGATATAGTTGCAAAATCATCAGAGCGCTTATCAAAAATTGCCTTTTATGGTCATCGATTGGCTCCTAAAAGAGAATGACTGAACAAACTAGTTATGAACCAATCAGAGCTGTCGTAATTAATGAGGCGAGAAGTTTGAATTTCCAAAAGTTGAGTTCGGCTTGTTGTCGTATGACTAAGATTGACCCTGAGGGGGTGGGAGAGGATTATTGTCAGGCGACTTGAATTACTCGTAGGTGGGAGGGACTTTAACTCATGATTCGAGTGATTGTTAGATCTAGTACAGTAGTGTAGTACTAGCGTCACGCTAGAAGACTGCCACATAAATAAAGTTGGGTACTGTACATAAACATACGACCTTGAGCAGCAGTGAGAGGCGGCGGGCGCATTAGTAGCGCACCACCCAAACCTTAATAGGCATAGGTCCTTATGAAGCTGATTCTTATGTAAATGCAATGTTGATGTATTAGGTGGATGAGAACATGCAGACTGCACAAAAACGAGATGCCGTTCGTCAAGGGAAATTCTACTTCAGAAAAACCTTGAAGAATTGTAAGTACCTTCAAGCAACTGTACTTGCACTTTACCCCACATATTTCTAACGTCACAGTTCAGATAGGAATATTTGATTGACGGGAGCCAAAAATCCATAGGTCTGGAGTCGTCTTTGTTGGAATTTTAAAAATCCTTTTGCAATTAATCCGGTTTTATGCAACTTCTTTGGTATTCGCAAGATAATGATGTCAGATCAAAAAAAAAAAAAAAAAGGATCTACAAAATGGCTTTCTAGTAGTAGTTGTATCAAGACGTCTTCAAGGATGGCTGTCAGGTTGTAGCACAAAACTAGAGAAATAAAAAATCAAATCAAATCCTATTTTGCAGTTACATGGCCATCGTGAAACCCGCTTTAAAGGGAAATAAGCCTAATTCCTTGTTTCCTCATTTCAGACCTAGTGTCCTTCCCTCGAGTTTTTGTGTAATATAGGATAAAAAATCTAATTGTTATCAATGGAATGGTATGAATTCTGAAGCCTGGTTTTAAATTGCGACGGAATCGGAGTCGTAATTAGAATCGGAGTCAAAGTCGGAAACGGAAGTACTTCATGCGTGAGATTGCCAGTGAAAACCGCTCGTCATAAGAGTAAGCATAAGCCAAGAAATACGAAAATGTCTGATCCTTCTGACGCGCTTCCGACTCTGTTTTCTTGTTTTCACTTCGTCATATGCTGCTGCTTCTGACTCTGACTCTGACACTGTTTTCTGGTTGTCACTTCATCAAAAGCTGCTTCCTTTTCCGATTCCGACTCCTATTCAGTCGCAAGTGAAAAACAGGCTTTGAGAGGAAAGACAATCGAATAAGGTCTACAGTGTTTCATGAGAATGGTTGTTATTATTAACGATAGGTAAGCCCCAGTGTGCTGGCTCTGCCTGTTGCGAGCAACCAAGCAACACTTGTGATGACATAACACTGATGAGTGTGGATACCATCATCAATGGCAAGGTAACAAGATACATCACCAGAACCAAAAAAAATCTCGTATAATCATCGTCATTACATAAAATATATTATTACATATATTTATTATTTTCACGCTCAACAATAACATTTTTTTGGGGTTCATGAGAGGAATCGTGGGGCTGTTAATTTTAAAGATGCCATTTTCCAATATGACAGACAAAGCTTCAACTCTCTTGAAAACTGACAGACCGAAAAACAAAGTAAATGTGACTTGATTCAAAAACTAAAACCTGAAAGACGAAAAATTCGAACAGACCTCTACCTTGGGCGTCATGTTTTCCCATTACAGACCAAGTGTCATTCCCTAGAGTATCATTTATTTGTTTAATGGTTGTGCATGAAAAGACACATGATATTTTCACTAAACCGCGACTCCCGTACGAATATTCGTACGGGAGTAAAAAATGTTGGTAAATATTCGCTGAATCGACTCCTACAAATAATAATCGCGAGTAATTCGTACGGGAGTGAAAAATGTTGGTAAATATTCGCTGAACAGCGACTCCCGTACGAATAACAATTTCGAATAATTCGTACGGGAGTGAAGAACGTTGGTAAATATACCAACATTTTTCACTCCCGTACGAATTATTCGCGATTGTTATTCGTACGAGAGTCGCGGTTCAGCGAATATTATTGATGAACCATTAGATAATTGATGAGGGGTTGCAGGAATTTTGGTTGCATGGGTTTTTTTTTTTTGGCTCAACCCTTGCACTTTATTTTTTCGCGTACAGTTAGATATGTTTCTTCTAGCAGAAGAGGTTGCATGATATTTTTTGAGGTTTTTAAACTTAAAAGTGCTTGCTCGATATTTTTTTTGGGATTTACGCAACCCCCCCATCAACTATCTTAAGCTTGGCAGTGGCGTCACGACGTCACCAAGATGTCGGTCATTCAAACGCGTTTTTCTTTTTTTTTTTTCACTGGGTTTCGGCACAATTCTAAATGTTTGCTTATTAAGAATTTCTGCGGTATTCGAATTATAACTAAACTTCAACTTCATTATTTAAGCAATAGAAAACTTTTTCCGTGTTTACATAGCCTGATAGCAACACGAGGGGAGGTTGGGAGAATTCGAGACAGTTATACAAACCCGAGACGTAGTCGAGGGTTTGCATAACTGTCGAGAAYTCTCCCAACCCCCCGAGTGTTGCTATCAGGCTATGTAAACACAGAGGAAAAAGTTTTCTATTGCTTTTATAAAATAAATACTAAGGGAAAACATTACCRCTTGCAAGAAAATAAATCTTTATTTGAATTTGATTATCATATCAAAATACAAATTCTCCATACATCACGAACTTCGATCGTTAGCCAATCAAATT